AGACAAAGTCCTCGTGTTGTGCAATTCAGTGAAGACCACTTGGCTTACGGTGGGATGCAAAGCATGTTTATTTACACAAGCGTGTTGGACGGTCTCCAAGGACCGTGCCTCCACTACATGTTCTGTAACAGGGGTCTTTATACAACGTAGGACGCACACATCATTGGTCAACAGCACTTCCAGACATACAGGAAACCTGAACAGACTGCACAATATGGGAAGTCACACTATGGATGAGCCCAGTACAGGAGAACCTTTGACCTTTGTTACCAGATGGCCATAAAACATTGACACATTCATGTTGTAGTCACCCCAAGAATTCATGACGGGTTCAAATCATGATTTGCGTCAGGCCTACGACAATACGAACCTTTATTTGATATTCAGGTTCATCTTCTGATCATTTGATGGCTGCATCTACCTATGCTTCTACTTTAGAAAAGGCCTCTTTGGTCACATCTAAGTACCTTCTACTTCAGGAAAGGCCTTGGTCACATCTAAGTACCTTCTACTTCAGGAAAGGCCTCGTTGGTCACATCCAAGTACCTTCTACTTCAGGAAAGGCCTCGTTGGTCACATCTAAGCACCTACTTCAGGAAAGGCCTCGTTGGTCACATCTAAGTACCTTCTACTTCAGGAAAGGCCTTGGTCACATCTAAGTACCTTCTACTTTAGGAAAGGCCTTGTTGGTCACATCCAAGTACCTTCTACTACAGAAGAAGGCCTTGTAGGTCACATCTAAGCACCTACTTCAGGAAAGGCCTCATTGGTCACATCCAAGTACCTTCTACTTCAGGTAAGGTCTCATTGGTCACATCCAAGTACCTTCTACTTCAGGAAAGGCCTCGTTGGTCACATCCAAGTACCTTCTACTTCAGGAAAGGCCTCATTGGTCACATCCAAGTACCTTCTACTTCAAAGAAAGGCCTTGTAGGTCACATCTACCCATCACTATACCTCAGAGAAAGGCTTCAATGGTTAGATCTACCTACCAGCTACTTTGGAGTAAGTCCATGACGGTCACATCAATCTATCCTACGTTGGAGTAATGAGGCGACTTTCATCCTGCCTTTTCATACCGTGATCTGGTGATCCTGGAACACACCTCCCGGTGATGGTTGAGCATCCTCCAGAAGCCCTAAAGAACAAAAATGGAAGCAGTTAGAGATGTCCCACAGCCAACAGGAAGTGAAAAGGTGATGGAGCGGGGGCAGCACACCGGGAGCGCCGGGAAGTTGCGGAGGAGCACACCGGGAGCGCCGGGAAGTTGCGCAGGAGCACACCGGGAGCGCCCGCAGGAGCACACCGGGAGCGGTGGGAAGGTACGCAGGAGCACACCGGGAAGGTACGCAGGAGCACACCGGGAGCGGTGGGAAGGTACGCAGGAGCACACCGGGAAGGTATGCAGAAGCACACCAGGAGCGCCGGGAAGGTGCGCAGGAGCACACTGGGAA